CCAGTATAAGAGTGCAACGACGACGACGATGTATAAGAGCACAAACATAGGAATGCGAGCGCCGCAACAACAATGCTGATCTCTCTACCGTTGCTCCAGCAACTGCATCGATCGACTGAGTGAACTCAATCAACGGGCGAGCAGTGCTCATGGGAAGCATACATACATATGTATGTATGTGCATGTGTGGGTACATGCATAATTGAGTGTCATACAAGTCGAATCATTTACGTTGTTACGTTACGTAAGCTACATTGAGCGTAACTTAATGAGAGCTTTTTGAGGCAGATGATAAAAAGCTAAGTGTATTTAGGAAACTTATGTAAATCACGAAACTTACAAACTCGCGGAACTGTGACTTTTGAAACATATATTCTTGACTGTCCTACGCAGTAAAATTGTATCCAATTTCTACAATATTTTATGCCATTTAACATTATACAAGAGCTTCTAATGCATTGTATATTTGGAAAGCTGTATAGTTTGTAGGTTATCTTTACGAGAATAAACACTTTCATTGATGTTGCTTTAGTTTTACTATGCCACTAACTCTTTAACTCTTACCGCCTTTTTTTGTTTTGTTTTGTATTTCTCCCCCAAATATTCCCTAGCGACAATTGTTGCATCAGCTCTTGCGTCTGTTCGAGCTTCAGTCACAGCTTTTCCGACTGCGACTTTCTTTTCCCTTTCACGCTCAGCTCAAGTAGGTGCAACTTGTTGTTGAGTTGCCTGCTTATCCTCCATTTAACCCCACCTTTTCCCCACCTGCCTGCATTCTAGCCTGTTATCATAAACAACCTTTCGCTTTCACAGTTGAACTTTGCATTTTCAGTTGCTGTTTAACTTTAAGTTTTTCCGGCTCGCGAATTTTTTGAAAGTGCACTTCTTTGCAATTTAACTTTGAGCCCGATCAATGGTTAATGAATGGTTGCTATAATTGACCTATAACTGCTTTTGTCGGGGCATTATGTTATTAAAGATCTTTTTTATTGGAGATATTATTACCTTTAGTTTATAGAGTAGAGAGTAGTTAGTAAAACGTGTTTATATAGAGTACACTATGCTTATAGTTGTATAACATTTGGATAATATAGCACATTTATATTATATATTTATAAAGAGGCATTACCTTATCTCTATTATTTACAAATATTAGAGGTTTTTCGAAACATAATAAATATATTCCTTGCTTCTTCTTTTCGTCGCTAAATGACGCATTACATGTTCAGCAGATGTGGCAAGAGATATCGAGAGATATATACACATATGCACATATGTATATTACTATGAGCTCATGCCACAAAGCGCAGCAAGAATAGCATCAAATCGTCGAAACTTCCGGCATATGCCAAACATTAATAATAAACAACTTACAGGCCATAAACCAATGAGAGGCCGACGCAAGGCAAGGCGAACAAAAAAAAGAAAAAAATATGAAAAAAAAAAAACATAAAATAATAGAATGAGCCAACTACCACAGTATAAATTACAATATGAAATAAAAGCGAGACAACTAAGAACAATTGCACCAAGATCTAACCGACTGCATAATATCCTGGGCTTTCAAAACAACATCGTAATAAATCACAGCTCGGCAGCATAAAATATTTATTAAAATTTTCAGCAGTTAAGCTTTTGCATAGTTGGTGGGCGGTACTAGAACGCCTTGACTCGGTCTTTAAGCATCATTAGTAAAATATGAGATATACATGTATACACATACGACAGTTGACTTAATCTTCAGAGAAACTCATTAGTAACTAATATACTTGAGGGGATCATAAACTTGAGTCTAGCATATTTCATTGAGAGATTTGGATTAGTTTAGAAAGGTAATTATAATATAGGACTTCAAGATTTTGTATTAACGTCAAAAATTATTATATTAACAATCATTATAATCCTCTATAAATATATTTAAACATTATTTCTTTTTTTTTTTTTACTCTAATTTTGCGCATATCAATATTTATTTCTCATCTCTCTTTAGAAAACCCTATCTAAGATGGTTGCCTTTTGTAGTATGTGAATGACAACCTATTAAATTAAAAATGAGATATAAAATTCATTCAATTATAATACGCTCTATAAGCTTTTTTTTTAACCAATTACCAGGGTATTAATGCTAGCAGGCAAAAAATTCACAAAAAGAAAGAGAAAGAGAATGAAAAAATGGAAGCTCAAACTCCAAACACAATTGCAAAGTCACAAAGCAAAATGCAATAGAAAATATGCACACAGTGAGTGTCAAAATTATTACAACAAGCCAGCTAGCCGGATGGACTGGATTGGAGTGAAACCGAATTGGGCTGGACTGGGATGGCATGGGCTGGGATGGGATGGGCTGGTCTGCTAAACTAAATGGTAACTCGAATGTTGCCACTAAATTGGAAGGCACAAGTCACACTGGACGTGGACAACAACCATGATGGCGACAACAGACCGAGGACGGAAACGACAGACAGATGATGCATGCTACACGCCTTGCACTTTACTAAGCACACAGACATAGCGTCAGAGTGACAGAGATGGAAAGGGACCCGCTGAATGAGACAGACAAGGAGACAGTGAAACAGTGAGACAGTGAAACAGTGAGACAGTGAGACAGTGAGACAGCGAGACAGAGAGATAGAATTAAGGCATTAACAGGCAAATTGTAACCATCCAAAAAACTCATTCTCCCCAAATTTGTATGCTCGCTCACGTAGTCAAGATAGTATATATATTAATACTCTACAATATACAATATATTATATTGGCTGTCCATTGTTACATTGGGAACTAGAAATACATAATTTGTAATATATACGCATTTTATCGGGCAATATACATATGTATATAGGAATGTATATATAGTAAAAAGTGGATCACTCTTTTAACATCAATCTCTTCAATGTTAAATATAAATGATATGAATTATAAAACTGATATTATTCAATTATAAATTGTTAAATTTATTATTATTTTTTTTTTTATAAAATATATTATGCACATATATAATATTCATTGAACATTAGTTAATTATAATATGGACATTTTTCTTTTTAAACTAAACGCGTATAATTCCGGAAGGCTTTTCATAATATTTATATAAATTTCAAATAAATACTAAATAATCCAGAAATAATTTATTTTTTATTTACTTATTTTTTTTTATTTTTAGTTATTGTTACAAAGAATGTATTCTAAATAATACGTTTTAAGCCAAAGCAACGAAGGCCTTCAGGCAGAGAAATTATATTTTTAACAAATATGCATATCTTATATACGCCATAAATAAAAATATATATAAAATCCAAATATATAAAAGCATAAATAAATATTATATTAATATTTATATATAAATATTTCATTTTTTGGTTCAACTTTCATTAAATTTGGTGAAACCGAAGTTGGGAACGCCATAAAAACACACAGAAAATATCAAATTAAATGTAACAAGAAGAGAGACAGCATATATTTTTTGGCAAAGAGCCTGGTAAAAAAAAATGGAAGGAATAAAGATATGAAAATTTCCGACGGCTATATTCGGCCCTCCAGTACTCTTTCCTGCCAGCAATCAAAGTGCATAAAAACTAACCACACTTTGGCTTACAATAACTCCAAAGTATCAAGTAGAGAAAGAAGAAGTAAAAGTCAAAAGAATAACGAATTTTGTACACAGCAGGTAAAAAAATTATATATGTATAGATTTACTTTTATGTATGCGATGTGAGTATGCCGTAACTGCGATACCAACACCATTTTCATATGGCCAAATAGCTGGCAGCCATTAAAATGCGCATCATCTGCATGCACAGCAGGATATGGTCAAAAATTGTATGCGAGCGCCAACAACTTTATGCCGTTAAATGCCAATGAACAGCTCAGAGAAAACTGTTTGCCAATTGCAAACGTGCAATGAAGTTAACTCGAAAAAAATATCAATTTGCTATACAGAAAATGATTTAATCAGAAAGCTTTTAATATTATACATAATGTAAAAGTCATTAAAAGTACTTTATATCAATTTATGAGATATCGCTGAATTGCTACATTTTTTATAGATTTTTTTTACAGTGTAAATAACAGATATCCAGAAAATCTGATAGTATTTAGCCCACACTAAACTCTTTCGAAATTCTGAATATAATTCATTTTTAGTATTTTATAATATACATAAATTCTTTTCAATTAATAAATATATCAATTTGAAGTATATAAACTTAACTTCAGTATTAAATCTGTTTAAATATCTTAACAAATTTTATTAAGTTATTTTTGTTTTTTGTTTTAAATTCTAAGGAATAACGAAAAAATTGTAGACGAAGAATCATAGACACTATTTTGTATCTATTAGAAAAAATCTACAAAACAAATTCACATTTAAATACTTTATATAAAATATATTTAATATGTTAATTATCTTTATATCAAATATATTTAATTAATCACTTTCAAAAAACTTTCGAAAATATTAAAAAATATATATCCCATAATACGAAAATTTTTTCCCATTTACATATATTATGTAAATATATAAAAAATATATATATTTGTTAAATTCTTCAAATTTACATACTTTATATAAATTTATAAAAAATATGTTATATTTAGTAAATATATCAAATGTAATTGAAATTCAATTATAAGAAATGCTGACAAGTTTTTATAAATGGGCCAAAAAGACTTCATGTGGATTCTCATGCACTTTAACAATCGATAGAACAAAGGTAAATATTTGCAGAGCAGCCAGGGCAGCTTAAAAATTAATTTCGGCCAGCTCTCGAACAAGTTATTTGAATAAGTCGAAACAAATGCAGAAAAAAAGTGTTTGGGGGCCAGACACAATGCTGGGGCAACGCCAAATAGCCTTGGAGCGCGGCTGGTCAAGGGAAATGGCAAAAGGCAAAAGGCAAATGGCGAACGGCGAACGGCGAATGGCGAATGGCGAATGGCAAATGGAATTGGAAACAAGGATACACAAATTGCAAATACAATGTCATAAAGCGGGCACTCACCTCGGTAGAGTTTACTGCGCTTGCTGCCAGCAGCAGTGGCAGCAATTGCTGGCTGGAGCTGTATGTGATGTTGCTGTTGCTGTTGTTGTTGTTGCTGCTGCAGCTGCTGTTGTTGTTGTTGCTGCTGCTGCTGTTGCTGTTGCTGCTGTGATTGCCTGTGTTGCTGTTGTATTGCAGCATCCAACTGCAGTAGCAATTGAGGCGTTGCTGCTGCTGCTGCTGCTGCTGTTGCTGCTGCTGCCTGACCAATATTTCCATTAACATTTGTCACAACGAGCTTCTGTTGCTGTTGGTGCTGCTGCTGCTGTTGTTGCTGCTGCTGCTGATGGTGCAGTTGATGCTGATGCGTGAGCAATTGCTGGCCATTGCCAACAGCTGCCGCCGCTGCTGCTGCTGCTGCGGCTGCCAATGCTGGCGGTCCATGAGCTGGACAAAAGCTGCGATACTCTCCATTGATATCCATATAGATGGGCGCCTCTACAAGTGGCCAAGCGGCGCTGCTGGCTGCAGCCGCAGCAGCAGCAGCAGTTGGTGCTGTTGTTGCTACTGTTGCTCCCGCTGCTGTAGGTGTTGGTGTCAGCGTAATTAATTGCACCGGCAACAACTGGGGGCCATTGCTCGATTGCAGATGTATGTGCGGCATGCCGCTGTGCTGGCTGCAATGCGCTTGCTGTTGCTGCTTAGGCGACAACTGTTGCTGCTGCTGGTGTTGCTGATGTTGCTGCTGCGGCAGGTTTAGTGCATGTTGTTGATAGTAAACTGCAGCTTGCTCATAGCCAGCATAGGCTGCACTGGAAGCCTGGCTTCTGTTGTATGCTGTTGAATGAGGCTGCATGGACATGTTGCTGTTGCTGTTGCTGCTGCTGTTGTTGTTGCTGTTGCTGTTGCTGTTGCTGTTGCAGCTGCTTGAGGCAATTGGCTTTTGTGGCTGTGCTCTCAGGGCGGCGGGCTGAAAGGGCGGCGCCAGTGGCGTTAGATTCGACTGATACGCCTTGACCAAAGCGCTGCTATGAGCCGTTGGCTCCAGCTCTAATTCTGGCTCCTGCTCCTGCTCTGGCTCTGGCTCTGTGCTGCTGCAATGGGCTTGATTTGTCGACGTTTTGCGCGCTGCTTTAGCACTCGCCTGGCCGCTCGTTCCGCTCCGATTGTTGTTGCTGTCAACGATGCTGTGAGCTGTTGGCTGCTCGCCAACCACTTTAACGCCTGATTTATCGATTAGCTGATAGCTTTCATCGATGAAAGCGACCAAATCTTTGCAAGCCTGCTGCAATTCCTCCGATGTCGTTTGCTGTGCCTCCGCACTTTCCGCCTCATCGTCATCGTCGCTTTCGATAACATGCTCGATAATGCGTAAGTTCTCATAATCGATAATACGCGCATAGCCCATTTTCAGTGCTAGATTCGTTAGCCTGGCCATCTCAACGTCCACATTGTCATTGTTGAATGTGAAAACATCGAAAGCCCTCTGAGCTTCGCTATCCTCGAACTGTTTTAGCTCCTCGGATGTTTGTTCCGTGGCGGCGTCTTTTGGAAAGTCGAGCAAAACGGTCATTTTGCCATTGATCTCACAATCGTTATCGATAATTGGAGCGCTATCGCTATTTGTATCGGCTTTTGTACTTGTAGATGTTGTTGATTCGGGCTCTTCGGTATTGAATTCGATCTGTGACTCTGTTGAGCTTACCAATTTCTTTGGCTGCTCCAATTCGTCGTCTACTTCCTCTTCTTCTTCTTCATCTTCTTGCACAGCTGATGTGCTGTTATCGATAAATATCCCAGCACCTTCATCGACAGCTGGCGTCAGACAACTGTCATAATAAACACACTCATCGCACACCAAATCCAACTGTGCCTCAGTTGACGGTGTTTTCAAGAGGGAACTAACAGTTGCTGCTGCCATTATTGCTTCCAGGTATATCTGTTTACCTATTAGCCTCTTGTTACGAATTTCAAATAATACTTGAATTTACTATCAACTGAAATTTAGATTTGCATGGCATTATTTGGGCCAGTTCGTTGAGTTGTTCCTCGAGTTCCGTTTTGCTCAAGAATATCATGATTTCGTGGTTTTGAATATAAGTAAATTTTCTGTTTTCAACAAATTTTTAAATTTCTGTAAGTAGAAAGAAGAAATTAATGAAGAAAAGTTAAGATTGCAATTTTAATATTTTTTTTCCTGATTTTTAACATTGAATACAAAGAGACAAAAAAGGGTTTCCCCTCTTTGTTTCGATTATTTCTTAAATTAATTTAAATCAGCATGAGAAAGATGCAGATGAACTTTCCACGACTAAATTAGCCTAGAAGATTTGTATGGAATAAGTAAATGTAAAGGCAAAATAAATGGTATATAAGATATGCTTAAATTCTTTACTCGCTCATATTCTTATATATAAAGAAGTTAAAGTTGGTGTGAAGTATTCATAGAGTTCTGATGTCATTTGTATTACTTTTTATGTGACAAACGAAACAAAAGTAAACAAGCAACAAAAACCAAACTAATCTGAATTTTTGCAAGAAGTCGAACAATACAACTGTCTGATTGGCATATGACATTTTCGGGTCAGTAAATAAATTAGTAATATGGATGAGATATATGCTAAACAATTCCAGCAGCCATAAGCAAGAGAGGCTACACACGCACACATACAGAAACACACACGCACACAGATGATAAATAGCTCAGATTAGAAAAGTACAAATAAATTAAAGAGAAAGATTGTCAGAATAGATATTTTTATAGATAAAATATTTTATATAAATAAAAAATATATATATCTTTTATATATCTTGACAATGAAATAGATTTCATCAATTTTATATTCAACTCTCACTTATTGACTTTATTTTAAATATATATAAAACACACATACGCCTCGTAGTACACAAAGAGCTTAAGTCAAAGCCAAAAATCGTAGCATACTTAAAAGGGCTGTGCACACGTAATTCTCATTATATTTGCATGCAAATGAACATACATATGAAGACCATATGGCAAGCCAAATGCAGAATTATGCAAATCCATAATTACATTTGATTGCGCAATTAACGCTCTTATCAATATGTTGCAGCCGATAGAGGAATGCCACGTTTCGATACCCTTTCCAAATGGGAATGGGCTAAAAGATGATGATGAAATTTGTGTTAAAATTTGTAAGCGTTTGTAATTTAGATAAAGTTAACATGCAGCTAGGCATTAAGAATATGCAAGTTTACAGGGTACCTTCCAGTCGTACATCCCTGCCAGCTGTTGTGTATGTGGCGTAAACGTGTCTGCTTTGACATTTAATTTGCCATATGTTTCGCCACAGTTGTCAAGCAGATTATTGGCTAACATCGCAACACTATTTTTAGCTGCAGAGATAAACATTAATTGACGTAATATTTGATTGGTTTTCTTGGATTACTAAAGGAAGCGCATATGAGCGGAGTAAATTCAACTTAGATCTATAACATATATAACAATTACATAACAAATAATCATGTTATTTCATGTACTTAATTGAGCTGAGCTTCTTTACGTCATATATCAGCAGATGCCTAGAGAAATGAAATTTAAGATCTACTTTGTCAAATGAAAGTCTTAGCAGACGAATTTATATGAATTTATTATTTGATATCATAAATTAAACTTTAATATGTTCTGTTATATTATATAAAAATAAATAAGAAACATTTTATATTTGAAATTTGCTTTTTTTATATATAACTCTTTATGTACCTCAGACGGAACTTTTACTAAAATTATATGGAAAATGTGTTAAAATAGAATAGAAAAATCTTTAAGTAAACATTTTGAAATATTAATTTCACATGTTTTTCAAAATTTTGCATAATTAGCACATACACTGCGTACAGCGAATCATAGCAGCAGCACGGTGGATACTGTTCAGTTTAGTATATAGATAAAGCCTCCGTCTTTCAGTATGAATGTATTACAACTTATAATTCTTATTTTAATTATCCAATTTGTAATTTCATTATAAGACCTTATAGTCTTGATAATCAACCTAATTATTTGCATCAACTATGACCTTCAGCTAAAGCCAAACTTCATGCATTCACTAACATCATTAAATTCAAACCAATTTCCCCATTGCTCTAATTACTAATCCACTTAGGCAACGCCCCCACCCACAGTCCAAAGAGTGCATCTTGGAAATTAAAAAAGTTTGAAGCAGAATTTAGTTTTGCCAGCAATCGAAAGCTCTTTCATTGATATTTTATCTAATAAACTGAGCCACTAATTGCATTGGAGGTAAATTATGCAAAAGCTTCGGCGTTGCATTGTAATGGGCATAATAAAAAGCTTTTTCGATCAAGCTAATTGAGAGTATATCAAAAGAAAAATACTAATAAAATACCAATATTCATATTTATTATCAGAATCAGTATAAATAAAAATACATAATTGCATAATCGAAAACCAAGCAAGCCAAGTTAACGAAATCACTTGGAGTATACTATATAAAATTGTAGTAATTTTCAATAGTTGTTAGACAACATATTCAGTCGTTTCACAAAATACTATAATCTGTAGATTTATTTGTATAGTCATTGGAAAAAATGCCCAACTTTAATGGGGCCATTATAATGCATACGTTGCAGTTGATCAAGACACCGGCAACGCTTCGTGAAATTGTGGTGACAATCTCTAAGAATATCGACTTGTCGCAGGACGACCTCATGAAGCCGGTCAAACAGACCCTAGACATGGGCTATCGTATGGGATTCTTGCAGAAACTAAATGGTAATATGAAAATAAATATAAAATGGAAGAATTTTATTCTTATAATAATCGTATTATAGGCAGATACTTTCTGGTGCCAATGTCCTTTGAGACGCTCAGATCTGAAATGAAATCGGCAGGCAGTCAGGGGTCTAGGGGCAAGCCCGATCCTGTCGAAAAGGCCGACTTAAAGCCCAAGATCGAAAAGCGAGCAACTGGCAAACAGCACCCACAGGCGGTGAAGGCAGTCGAGATATTCAATAAGAATCAGACACACAACAATCAGTTTGCGTCGGGAATGTTGGGTCATGAGTCTACGACCACATTGATACCATCATCATCGATGCAGGTAAAATCAGGTGGATTGGCGCAACGTAAGCCGAAGCGCACACAGCAAAGTATTAAATAGATGCAGTTGCATCTAACAATCTGCCTTCTCCCAAAAGCAGCGAAAATTTACCGTTAGCCTGTTGTAATTCCTGTGTTGAGCAATTAAAATTAAATCGATATGTCTATACAAATTTCCGTCTATCAACTATTCTATCGTTGACAAACTTGAAGAATTTTTGCTCATTTCTGCCCAGTTGACAAATGTCTCAATTACGAAGCAAGGATGCTGAAGTCAGTGGGCGTGTGGAATGACATCGTCACGTCGCGTCAAGTCGCATCGTGTCGCGTCGCGTTTGCCTCCCTTTCAATTTGTAAGCCAAATGAAGCGTTGTCGCTGCCAAGTCCCATTTAGCTGTATGCATTGACCATATGGTCGCTTTGTCGGTCCAACTCAGTCGCCCACGTTCCGTTATCTGTCCCGCGACCTGTGTCCTTTGCGATGACGTCGACAGTGAGCGGCTGCTATGCCGGCACAGCATAGCGAACACAGCGGACAACTTAACAAAGGTCTAACGGTATTTAAAGCCCACGCCGCTTTGAAGAGAGCCCGCCGTGAGCGCACGACTTGTGAATCGTGGTGAGTAACGAGCGCGTGTTGAATTTCGAGACGAGAGTGCAACAAATGTTTGTCTCACTCAACTAGTAGGTAATATACATAGTAAGGACGCCAACTGAGGTGACTTTGCTTAACTTTGCTGCGTGGGCGCTATTCACTCTAAGCACTGCAAAAAGCGAAAAGTGAGATTATCCCTCGACATCGTTTCGGCACACTGGCACAAATACTCATACATATACAGATACATATGTACTATAAACAGAAAAACGAATACTAATGCTCCATGCACGTCCCACTGGGAGTGTGTGTGCGTCTGTGTGTGTGTGTGTGTGTGTGTATGAAATATTAAAAGCACAACTTGATTGCCAGATACACTGGATGCGCGGCACTTTTTAAAAAGGGTAACAAAAGTTTTAAATTGGAGAATATTGTGGGTGTTGATAATGTGGGGGCTTAATGAGTTTTCCAAATTTTTAATGATGTAGCATCTTAGAATATTAAAAAATAATAAGATTTATCAAATAAAAATGTTGGTATCTAAGTATCCAGTAGAAAAAAAAAAAAAAAAAAAATATATATATATATATATATATATATATATATATATATATATATAAAATAAAAATTTTGACAGCTAATCCATAACTAAGTTCCAACCAACTTCTAATTTTGTAATGGCATATTTAAGTATATGGGTTACATGCGAGTAAAACGTAAAACGGTTAAAGCGGTTGCTTTCGCAGTCAACTCAACTCAATAAACCCACTTCATGATTTTATATAGACATTAGAGTTTGCTGAGCAAACAATCTGCACAACTTTTTTATTATCATTAAAAAAGACTTCAAATAGTAATAACGTAAAAATTTTCAAGTTATTCAATCAAAAGTTGAAACAGAATAAGATTGAAGTATATTAAACCTCAAAGATATTATTAAAAAAAAAAAAAAAGAAACCCCTATTACTTAATAATTGCTATGAGATTAAAAAAAATAATAAAAAAAAAAATATATTAATAATAAATCAAATAATATGTGTATATTTATTAACTGGTTTCAACATCAAATATTATAATTTCTCATTAGTCAATTTTCAGCTTTTATTATTTTTCATAAGCTGTGAGAGTGAGAGAGGGACAGAACGACGTCTGCCAAGCATATGCCATGGAAAACTTGTCACAAAAATTAGCGTTAATGCAAATGTAAAAATCTGTAAATTCAATTAGCTGTCATCAAAACCCAAACGGATGCACAGACAGCGCACAGACCGCGAAAGTGCGTAAAAGCTTTATTTCCCAGCAAACAAGTAATCCAAGAAACAAAAACTTTTGCACACACACACGCCCACAAACACATGATTATGCACTTGCCTACGTACACGTGAACATATGCTTTTTTCAATTATGGGATTTTGTGTGTGCAAATGCCAAGACATAAAAACGTAAGACGTGCAACAGCAGCGCGATTACGTTAACGTCGACAGCGCTGCGCAAAATACACTGCAAAATAAAACTGATTTAGTTTTGCCAATGCGCGCGTGGTGAGTAAGAAAGCGTTACTGCTCTGTTCGCTGCGAAGCCCCGGCACTATTTGTAGTTGTTGTTGTTGCTGCGTCAACTGGTTGTGTTGCCTCGCTGAATGCACTTGCTGGCTAGCTTTTGCACTTGTTGTTGTTGTTGCTACGTTTTGTTTTTCTACTTTGCTTTGTGTGCCACAAACTATTGCCAATTCACATACATACATACATACATTCATGTCTGTATATGTGTTTGTGTGTGTGCACCCATACAGACATTTGCACGCGTGTGCGTGAGTGCAAAGCTAACATATTGTTGCCATTTACATCGAATACGCCGCATAAAAATCATCATAAAATACAACAGCTGCTGCTGAGCATGAAAGTAGTGCAGCATTTAATGGAAAACCTATTTAAAATGCAATTTGTAATAGTTTTGCCTTTGACTTACCAGTTGCTGCAACAACAAGAGGGCAGAAAAATGTTTTCGTTATTTCGCACACAATAGCCCATACTCACACACATACGCGCACGAATAGACACGTTTACACATATACACACACAAGCACAAATTTCAAAGCACATACGGCACAAATGCGAATGCGAAACATGAAGAAAACAAACCTACCGAAGTAACGGCAACAATTTGTTATTGCTTTAGCATGGCACTGTTTATTCTCTTTCTCTCTCTCTTATGCTTGTTTCTACTTTAGTTGTTTTGGCAATTCCTTTACAAAATGCGCATTACATTTGCAATTCGAGTTGATTTGTACTAGTGATTGGCATTTGCTTGAACATTAACCAAAGCAAGTGAAAATATACACAAACAACAGGCGACACACACGAAGACCCAAACGCGGCAACCGTTTGATTTTGATTGACGCTGGGGCACCATGGAAAACTGCAAACGAGCCAAAGCACGCCTATACGAATAGCGAACGGCGCGAACGGGCAAGCGGCGAACGGCGAACGGCGAACAGAGAGCCGAAAAACATGAGCACACGAAGCTAAATCCGCGGCGATAGCAGTGCCTGTACACACAGCAGTACTGCGTGGGAGCGGCAACGCGCAAGAGCAGTTCCGACAAGTTGCATGCAAATTCTTCTATACGTGGGTGGCTAAACTTCGCCAACTAGGTGAGAGAGAGAGAGAGAAAGGGCTCAACAACAAGCACGAAGGCAGGCAGGCAACGGGAATATTTATATGTACATGCATACATACATACTGTGTGAGGGCTGACGGCAAAAGCTTTTTTCTTTTTTGCTCGTCTTTTGCTGCCGGCAGAGCCAACAGCTGTTTTACCGTTCCCCTGGACTTTGACAACATTAAAATTGTTACGTTTTGCATAATACAATAAAATTGGGCAGTTAACGAGAATGCGTTTATTTACTTCACATTTCTGTAAGCAAGCTTGGTTCTTGGATCTATGAATATATGTAAATAAATTTTATACGCATTAACTAAATGCAGCGGACTCGAGGCATGGTAACTAGCACTTAAGATAATGTTGCGAATATACATAATAGTCGAAAGCTTGCATTGAGCTGGTGTGTGTCTTTGATAATACCGTTATAAGCGGCGAGCTTTTTCGCTGAATAAATGTTTCAGCTTTTCAGATGGAACAGAAACACCTGTTAGTCTTGCGCAACTTGAGCCACCAATCAAAGTCGTTCTTAATGAACTTAACCTTCGAATCGTCGCGCTTCTTTTGAAACGCCTCCCGATCTTTCAACCATATTCGCGCATACTCCATGCCAATGAGCATTGCCATCGTACCAGGTACACACTAACAGAGTTATTAGATTAGTAATGTCAGTTCGATAGAGTTTTCATTAGAACATTTACCTCTCGCTCCAGGCTTGATACCATGACATGATGCTGAGCACGTAGCCCTGCCTCAGTGGTCAAATTATCCTTAGGTCTGCAAATCAAAGAACGCGACCATTCCTTACTCTTTGGTAATGCCATACCATTTATATACGCTATACCTCTACAATTTTCTATATACAAATAATTTCGAATCTCAACTTTTTCTTACAACTTTTACTTATGTCTATACATATTCTAGAAAGTATACTATTTAACTGCTCCAAATAGTACAAATGGTACTGGTACAGACAAAGGTATTTCGATCTTATAAGTTGTAGACGAATTTGACATTTTACTCAGGGAAATCGTATCTAAATATATTTTAGTAAAATTAAAATTGTAGTATTTTATAAACGAATATATTGGGATTTTTATTGATCGGATTGTATTACTATTATTTCTTATTTAAATTAGCATTATATGAAAATATTGTATTTCGATTTGGTTCATTGCACCTAGCTAGATACAACCTTTAAAAAATATTTTACCTAGCTTTAGAATATTTTTGTTTTCCTCTAGGCTTTTCAATGAAAATTTCATTAGAGCCAGGACTAATTGGAACATATTATCCTATACATATATACCATTTATCTTTCCATAAAGTCGCATCTTAGAATTTGTTGAGAACTGGACTGAAACTAGGACTAAATAGTCAATCAATACAAATTAAGTCCTAATATATATTGCATAGATATGTACATATATAATATCTGGATATACATAAATACTTCATCTATGTGTTAATAGATAGACATGTCTATTTATCTCAGCATCTGCCTAATTCTGGTCTTGTATCCAAGTTTAAAAAATGAAATCCACCCAAAAATAAAACCCCCCGAATATAAATACATAGCAAAGAAATGTTGCCAGGAAAAATGAACGCAAAAAAAGTAAGAACAGCGACAACTACTACTACATAGACTTTAAGACAAAGAAGTAAAACAAACTTTAAGCCAATACTGTACCTATGTATGTATGCGTGTACAAAAAAACGAAAAAAGAAACTGAAATGGAAAGAAAAACAATACAAATGAAGTCGAAGAGCAAGACGAAGTGTGGCAGTGCCATAGGATGAGCAGCGCAAACTAAAGCAAAACTCCTCGTCGCACACCGCTAGGGAGCGAGCTTAGAAGTAAAGCAAAAAAACAGAAGAAGAAGGAGAAGAAGAAGCAGTGGCAGCGGCAGAGGCCGAGGCAGAGGCAGAAGCAACACAAGTAAAACAAAACGATAATGTGGGTGGGGATGGGTAACTGGCAACGGTACGGGCAAACGTAAATCAAACAAAAATAAAACAAAGCAAAACAAATAAAATAAACAAAACTACGCAGAAGTAGCAGGCGGACGTCAACGACAACGACAATGCCAACAACGGCAACAGCAACAATAACAACAACAGCAACAGCAACGATGGCAAACAAGGAGCAAGCAAAACAACGGTAGAGTGAAAAGGGCATTGGGCATGAAAGAATGAAAGAAGCCAAAGCAAAACACCCACACAAACAGCCAAATGAAATTGTACAAAACAAGGCAATGCAACGATAATTATGATGACGATGACGATGACGATGATGATGATGATGATGATTAAGCAAACGAAGCAAATTCCGTTAGCTAAAACAAACATTTGCAAATGTTCTCAACAAACTTTTGGGGCACAACAAAACGAAATTGAAAATGCACCCAGCACTGGGCACTGCCTGGGCAACAATGGCGGCGGATGGAATTCAAGTTTGAGTTCCAGGCCAAACACACTAAAACAGTTCAGCTTACAAACAGTACATATGCAGAAGTATGTGTGTGCGTGTGTATTCCTATTCGTATTAGTATTGGTATTTGTGTGTCGCATTTGCTCTGTGCGCTCTGCAAACAAATTCAATACCGATCTCGCTCTCGCTCCCTCTCTCTCTCTCTCTCTCTCTCAGTCTCTCTGCCAGGGGGCTGTCATCATTTGTTTTGTCCTTCTCACTTGTCGTGCGCTGCTCTGTAACGGTTGTCACGTCCGTTACCCTTCAGGACGGCTTTTAAGGCAACTGTATGCGTAAATAAGCATTTTACAATAATACCTACGACCTTGTTGTTGCTTTGACCGTCTTGTTTACCCAATCGAATACAGGTAAAATGGAGCATATTCCGGTAATTATCGAATAAGTAAAGGTATACACATATTATAGGATTTGGCATTATATCAGAAATTATGGCGTATTATATTATAATATTAAAAATTATATATTTGAAAACAATTAATTTTTTAATTTTGAATTTTTTTAATCTACGTATGTATGTACATATTATTATAATTATATATTGTTATAATGTAATTTAATATAATGAAAGTGTGAATTTCTTAAATTTACTTTTTCTGGCCTTTAAATACATAATAAATAAAGATCTAGAATTCAGAAATCATTCAAAAATTCTTCATAAAAATATCAAAGCTTGTTTAAAAGAAAAATGAAAAAAAAAAAGAGAACTTAACAAACCTTCAAGGCTCGCCCACTGCTAACCCTCAACTGCAAGTGTTACGGGTAAGTAATACTCAAAACTCGACTAAGGTTAAAGCTCACCAACTATTAGCCACCCACGCAAGGTGCACGTGAGTCTCGTCTTCTACCTCTTCTTCTTCTTTTTGGGAGAACAGCTATGCAAAAAATGCATAATTAATTTCTCGGACAAGAGCTACGTTTGCAATTTAGCTTTGAAGTGTTTATATGTCAATGGAATTGTTAACAGTTGTACTTTTTCAAAATTACAACCGTAATGCAAGCAAAAAATCAAAGAAATATTCCACTCGGGTATGCCGAACTAAAAGCAACTGAGGAAAAGTAACAAACATCAAAGTGTATAGATGTAGTTCTTAGATTTCTATAAAGACAGACATGAACATATTGTATTTCTTTTACATGGTATCACTCAAAAAATAATACCCATTTTACACACCGCAATAAGTACAGGGTATTTACAAAAAAATAAACAAGAAAGCACATTTTGCTGAATGAACAGAAAATATTATACAAGGGCTGGCAGAGCGAAGCCAACGAATGTGAAAATTGCAAGGGGGAGTTCACGTCATGTTCGTAATTGCTGTTCCAAAAAGTAGAACAACAATAACAACAACAACTGCAACAACAACAATAGCAACACGCGTACTTTTCTCTTCGAAAACAATGTCAACACGGACAGCCGTTCGACATTAAACAAATAATAACAAACAACAGAAATTTTAATGCAACTTGTTTTGACCAACAAAAAAAAAAAATAAATAAATAAATTCTACAAATGGAAATTACAACAAAATTCAGAGACCGTTATTGGGTGAAGTTTTAAGCCAATAATGCTTATTGATAGACACATTTAAATACGTTTGAGGTTCTCATTTAATAATAGAATTTCATATTTTATCATTATTCTTATTTTGCGCTCTGTAAGAGCAAGAAGGCGCAATACCTTGTCAAAAGTGTTGCATACAATCAGGCGCAGGGACAAAGAAATTCAGCAAATAAATCTCTGTTGATTTTTGCATGCTGTTTGCATTTGATTCTGCTGTTAACTTCAGTTTGGAGTGCTTACTCTTTGTATATAATAAGCAAACAAAGAGAATCACAGATATGCTGATGTATTTATAAACAGAATTGCAAATATTTGGATGATCAGCAATAAAAGCGTCCTTAACTTTTTATTAATTAATTAAAATATTTGCTTTATTTTCTCGCTGTCGGTATTTTCGTTTTCATTTCAGGTTTCTTATAATTACTTATTTTTTGTATTAGTATTAAATAAAATTATAATAGATTAATTGAAATTTTAAGATTAGTTGTTTAAGTATGTTTTACTTTCTACTAGTAAGTATGTAATCGGAAAATGGATTTTTCATTAGTTTTTAATTAATGACAATATTAATATAGACCATGGAAATTTTAGAAACGAGTATAGATTTTCTATTTATATATTTATATTTAATACATCAAACTAAACATTATAAAGATTATGTATATTTTTAAAAATGAAAATTATACGAAACCTTAT